TGAATGTCACAATATTCTGTCTTAATCCTAGACAATATGTGATTGCCTCAATGCAGCCAATCTGCGTAGGGAACGGTAATGCACGCAGTGGTTTGTTGAATATCGGCATCAAAAGGCGATCTTTGACTGGAGTGATCAACTCATAGACTTCTGCTTGGAGAGTCTCAGCGAGGGTAGCGATACCGCTTTGAGCAGCCTGTCGAACATGCTTATTCATATGGGACAGTTCATAGCTCAGAAGCCCACAGAGCACCAAAATTCGGCTTCTTTCATTCTGCAGTTCATCTTTCGAGACTCCCTGGTTGCACTTTTTTAGAATTATATCGATTGTCTTTTGAGCCCGCATCCTAGTACCCCCGGGAAACTCTGAGGGTGTATCTTTAATCACGTACATGAGAGCTCTGATAAATTCTGTTTGACGATCCACCAGCCACGAGGTAGTCAACCCGAGTTCTGTGACAAAAATGTGAATTCCAAGAGCTCCGCCAGATTTTGTGAACCATTCTTCATCGTGACAGGCATGGCAAAGTATCCTTGCAAGATGAGATAAGAACGGAAGTTTCCCCCCCTTTTCAGGTGACCCAAAGATTATTCCAGAGAATTCATGGACACTGAAAATCACTTGCTTCGCAGCATCTCGGATGTCAGGGTTCTCAGAAGATAAGCACTCAACAACAGCATCCGCTAATGTTTTGGTGTCTAAAAAGAGCGGTCCGTCACCTATGCTGACATTGAATGGGCGGCGCATATGGCGATGGCTCGCAAGGGATCGTCCAACTTCAATAATCGTGAAATGGCGACACACGTCTGTAAGGAACGCCGAAGCTTCTTGTTTCAATTCAGGAATCGTCGCAGCAACAATACAACCCTTGAGTAGCTTCTTCAAAGTGTTTTCCTGTGAAAGCTTCTTCTTAACGGAAAGTTTGCGATCAAATTTCTCCATGATGTCTACACCAGTGAACTTTCCTTCTGCGAGATCATTGGCTTGGAGACGCAAGAGTGTCGCCCAATCGTCTGGCGGCTGTTCGTAGCCGATATATAGCTTAAGCTGGGAGCTTAGCAACCGGAAAGCCTGCTGCTTATAGAAACTATCAGCGCGGAGAATTTCTGGGTTTGCAGGGCTTGTTGGGTTTGGTAGGGGTGTTGCAGACTCCAACAACTTTCCAAGTGCGAGGTCGATACCGATATCCAGTGGGAAGGCTCGCTCTTTACTTGAGCCAATAAGCTTGATGTCCATACTCGGCACATCGTCGGCAAACTGCTGGAACGTAAGGTCTGGTGGATGATTCAAAAATTTTCGATTCCTGCCGCCTAACTTTCCTAGAATTCTCATTGTTGTGTGAGCGTGAAAATGGTTGTAAGGATTTGGTCGAAGATGTTCCCAGAGAGCAGACATCAATTCATCTACTATTGGAGCCATGATTGGGTCCAGGTAGTCGGCAGTTAGATTATCCACACAAAGCTCCAAAGTTCTAAGGCCTTGACCAACTAAGTCGGATCCAGAACGTAGGGCAACCACAATAGGTCTCATAAGGTGTGAGAGATGCGGAAGAAGATGACTCAGTCGAGCGGGAACAGTAAGCGTAAGTTCGACATATAAATCTCGTTCAACGGGCTTTCTGGCATCAAGAATTAGGTTATTGAAGGTTTCTAGAAGCATTTCGAGCAGCGGAAGCAATTCTTTATAAAGAGTTTCATAACGGCCTCCTCCTATGCTGCGGAAAAGAGATCTAAGCAATAGGAAGTAGTTCATCGGTTCCTCGGCTGTTACCGAATACTCGATGCATTTCGAGATTATCTTGGTCACATGCGGGTGCACTACCTGCTCGTTGTCAACCGGAAAAAGCATGACAGCCATGAAAGAGAGCTTGAACATCCTAAGGAGCGTCCTGGATTTCTTGACATCCGCCGTGCCAACTTCATGGATACGATCCATGAGGTACCGTAAGCTTATTCCTGCGACGGCGGGTGAGATGGCCTCACTGGCCAGGAGAAATTGCGGTAGATGAAGCAAAGGGCTATGCTCTAGCATGAGTTGGTGTAAATGCCCGATCTCGGCATCAAAAATTTCATGGAAAGTAGCAGTGTCGATGTAGTGGAAAATAGTTCCAAAGCTCTCCAGTAAATCCTTCTCTTCTTTACCCATCTGTTGCATGTACTGGCTGGCAAGAAATTCAAGGGGGGAACTATTCTTAGCGTCGATATCGGGATTGTCGACTCCATAGTACTTGAACACGGCTGCACCTTCGTGAAACAGCTTTCTGATCACACGCACTTCTTCAGCGTTGTAACCAAACGAAACTTCTGCCCAGTTGATGGGCGCGTATGAGGAGTCTATTTTGATATCTGTGGGGTTGCAAGCCTTCATCTGGTAGAACAGCCCCTTTGCACCAGAAACAAGAGTTTTGAACAAAAATTTATTGTCGGAAACTGGGTCCGCGTTTCGGTCTCGAGGATTAACAACTTTGATTGGCGATGCCGAAAAGATATCGATATCATCCCAATCCGGAGGGTGGTCCTTATCTGCAAGGTAAGTCTCATCTTCACCATTGGGGAATTCTTTCAGTTTCTTGGAGAGTTTGATCGCGTTGTGGAATTCATGGTTCATAGCAGCAAACTTGTCACCGATGGCATCTAGAATCATAATCAGAAAGTATCGTGCTTCCCGTTTGTCTTCGAGGCTTGCTATTTTTTCCGCCATGTTTAGGAGTAACTTAGCACTCATGGCTTGGAAACTTGTACCGGGCATCTCGTCGTGAAGGTTTTTCGTGTAGACTTGAATGGTGCGCAAAATTTGATCCCGGGTGAGCGACTCGCGAACATGATGGATGAGATCAGCCAACATGCTATATGCGAGAGCGCGAAGGGATTCGTGAACGGTAAGGCCATCCCCAATTAGAGTTCGTTCATCCAAGAGATCGTCAAGTTTTTCAAGAAAGATCTTTCGATAATTAAAGTTGATAATGTGACGAATGGCAACAAGGAGTTCCTTCCGCACACTAGACTTCTCCCTAGGGCAATCTTGAAGCAGGCGCACGACGACTCCAGGAAGGGAAGGCAGGAAGTCTTGGAGGTGGTTAGAATGCACTCGGAGTAAGTATGCAAGAAAACTCATTGTTTTAACTTGAGCTGTAATAAATTCGCCAAACGCGGTTCTGTTCTTGATGTCCTTGCTCACACCAGCAAATATCTTTCCCTGGGCAGCGGCGTCAGAATGAGCGCGCTCCTGGGGTTTTGCTTGGAGCAGTAATATCCCCTTGATAAGTGGCACAAAGACTCCAATGTTCGACGATACGGAAGATCGGTGTATCTGGAAGATGGAGACGACAATAATTGGGCACTCGGCGAGGACCTTGAACGACTGCATACCCCTCACAAGTTGCTGGTTACCTTGCTGGTCCGGCCCCAAATCCGAAACGGAAGCAGCTGGAGAGCTAGGCCGCGGAGACTGGAAATTCTGGGCTGTCGCATTCGGGGTGGAAGGCATTCCGGGTCCAGCAGTCGTCGTGGTTGCAGGTAATTCAAATGTTTCTTTGACAACTTGAGGCATGCCCTCGAACAAGTTATGGATGAGTTCCAAAAACGTTTGCATAGAAGGCCGTGTTTCTCTGGTCCGTCGACGCATAAGGTCCATAATTGTCTTCATACAGATAACCGCGTTATCTTCGTTTTCATGCCGGACAAGTTCGATGAGAAGGTCTACCATATCGGAAGCGTATGGCCCAACTGCATCTAGATCTAACGGGAGACGATGAATGATTTCCAAGATACAGTTTCGTAGTTTCTAACGAGTTAAGATCCAATGAGCAACGCAACGCAGCAAACGACGAAATAAAGGGCAAAACATAGAAATACGTACGTGCTCATATGACATTGTGCTAAAAACCGCGTCCCCCTTCAGGATCTTTTTGAAGACTGGCCATAATTTGGCGAGGAAGATAGCATATGTAGGTCCAGAGCAAAGCTGCTCCAAGGTATCGCGAATCTCGACAGCGGAGCTGTGTTTTCGCGCGATGTCTGCGGGAATAGAAACAAGGTCATCGTGTTAGCGGGTGTATCGTCTTCAGCTACATATTCCAACTAACGATTGGGGTGGAAAAAGGGATGAATACAGGTGGGAGAGGGGGAGGGAGGAAGAGCTCACCATAGCTAGCATCACCAAGCTTACTCGCATGCACATCCAGGGTGCGCTCCATGAATTCACGTTCCATTGTAAATAAATTGAATGATCAGGCATAGAACATGGCAATACTCTAGAAATCACTCAGACTGATTACTGCCAGGCCCTCAGGCCGGCGTTGGTGAGAAACAACAAGAGTCAACAATGCAGGCCTGCACACTGGCTCACAATCAGATGGACATCAGATAGCTCTGAATTGGACGGAATTCCAGCAGGGAAAGGGCAAAATTAGATGAGTGCAGGAAGGAGCAGTTTAAAGAGAAATAGGTAGTCAGTTATTAAGGGTGAGTGAAGAATGTGAGGCGTGTTGTTTGTGGTTTGGAAGACTGGCTGTGGTGTGTTGCTATATGAATTTTGTAGAACTAGGGCGCGGTCACTGATAATGAATTTCTGATTTGGGGACCTGGGGGGGTGCGGCCTGCGACTTCATGCAGGGCACTAGGCCGAGAAAGGACTAGCCTGGCCCAGTCCAAGGATACCATACCCTCTAGGGCCTAGCGGCAGTGTAGCACTTTGGTAATCCTGATGTTAGGTAATCAGGTTGGTGTTCAGCCTTGGCAGGAACACCCAAACATAACAAACAGAAATACAAACGGGAAGACAAACAAAGACAAACAGGCATGAACAGTGTGTTATAGTTGCAAGACAGATCTAGACAACAGATTAATAGTTCATCATAATTACCTAGGTAGGTAGTTGCTGTTGGTAGCTCTCTGATACTCTCATAAAACAAAAAATTCAATAGGTTCGCTGTATTTACTTCTTGCAATTGCTGATTTCTAGAATCAAACATGGGGTAAGAAGAAAAAAAATTAAATGCAGGTCCCACCCGGGTTCGAACCGGGGCTGCTCGGATCAGAACCGAGAGTCATAACCACTAGACTATGGAACCCGTTCTTGATGTAGGCCATGAGGCAGCCATCCCCTATTAGTATGAGCTCCCGTCTACACCTAATAGCCAATTTGGTTGATATAATCTAAATATCTCAACTGTCACAAATGTAGATTTTTTTTAATAGATTAGCCAGGAAGGAAGCGAAAGATGCTATTTGGCATGTATAAAAGCACAAAGAATGGTTAACGCCGTGTCACACCAGTTTTCCTTAACCTAGGCACATCTCTAAGAACAGTCCAAGCAAATCCTAGTTTCATAACCCTGACATGAATCCTCAGGGAGACGGAAGAGCTGTAATAATATAAAGCCATATTCACAAGAAAAACCACATAACCATAATAGCAAAGAGGGAAGGAGGAGCACGTAAAAAATAAAGCTGGAGGGGACTGTAGCAATAACACAAGGGGTGGGATAAACGCTCTTCTTTGCAGTAGCAAGAAACAAAATGAGAAAAATAAAAATAAAAATGGAAAAATAAAACCGCCCCCTCCTTCCCCCCCACCCTTAATATGAGATAATTCTGAGCCCGATCCTATTCCGCTCTCTTAGAAAAAGAGATAGAGGGTATGTGTGAGAGAAAGGGAAGTACGAAAAAGCGCTCCATGTCCGAAGTAATGATGAGACCCATGCTTCAAGCTGGGCGATTGGAATCGTGGGTTGACTTGCTACGAGTGATGCCTGGAATGGAAGAATCGGCGGAACCACTATACCCACCGCTCCCGCTCCCGAGAGAACTTCGTCGTTGTCCCCGTCTTCGCGCCTCACCGGAGGTCCTTTGGCCACGAGTTTCATCGACCGATACACGACGACGCCTCTGGATTTAAACGTATGGAACACGTTAGAATCACACCGGCTCATAAGGAAGAGTCATGCGTTTTAAACAATGAAAATCACACACAAGGACAGGCAGCCAAAGTGCAACAAAGCGGGAATCGAGAGCAGTTTCGTTCCCCGTATCATTCAACTTGCGAAGAACTAACCGAGTTTGAGCCTTCTCGTTCTCTTAACCGTCGTTCCTTGCTGGTGGTTGTAGGGTCGTCCTGTAACTTCAATGCATTCAATCGCTGTTGATTGTCCTGGGTTGTTGGATCCACGTTTTCGGCCTGGGCCGGGTTGCTAGGAGTTGGCTCGGAAAGGGTTGATGGAGGACCTTGGGCTAGGGCCTTTCTTTGTTTCGCCATTTCTGCTAGCTGATCCCATTTCCGCTGCCTGGATTTCTCCCGGGATTCAGCGGAATTTTGCATCTCTTGATAATCATGTGAACAATCGTCGAAGAGTTGCGGGTTGATCTCCATAAACATCTTCATAGCCGTGTACACCATGCTATGAATCGTTCTGCATATCAGAGTCAGTAAGTACTCATAGAGATGAATGGGAAGCAACCATCTGAATATCCTACATACCTGTTCCAATGGCCCTGGGAGTTTTCAAAGAGTGGTGTAAACATGATTGGAAGAATTGTTCCTACATTATCCCCGACAAGATTACAGAAGTATTCGTTGTTCCAGAAATACAGTGCCCGTTCCGCAACCTATATATCGTAGTCAGCACTAAGCACATGTAACAATAACACGAAGAAATTCATACATACCTGAAAATGTGGGCTACCGACGGATTTGGCCAGCTGGTGAAACAGAGGTTCTTGGACCTTGACAAATTCACCTGGCTCCATCACCTCGAAAATGTCTTCAACTTCATTCAAAAACATTACCTCCTTAGTACTGTTAACTTTCGGCCAATAGCGAAGGAGACCAAGCACAACCTACTCGACCAATGTTAGCACCGATTCAAACGCAACCGAAACGTACAGGAACCATACCTCTTCTGTCAGTGCGGCGTCTTTTTCCAAGAATTGAACAATGCAATACGCGAGCTGAGGATGATACATGCTTAAACTCTTCACTTTGTGCATTGGGAGCAAGACCCGAGTTAGGAATAACTTATGCTCTTCCTTAAGTGGTAGAGCAAATCCGTTGATGATCGAACCAAGTATTTCCAAAAGTTCCGCAATACCGTTGAAACGTTCAGTTTCGTAGATAAATTGGAAGAATACATTGTTTATAGAGCGCCGGATATATGAGCGTAAGTTTAGGAATTTTCCATATATACGATGCAGAGTTGTTTTAAGAAAATCTCGTTCTCTTGGGTCTTCGGAATCAAAGAGTTCGAGTAGCTGAAGAAGAGAATATTTAGTCGCAATCACAAAAGAAGAAGAAAATTAAAGGAAAATTAAAGGGAAAATAGAACAAGATTGATAATACCTGAAGTACAAACTGATGGTCGATGAATGATTTAGCAATGTTTGTGTTGAAATCTTGACTCTCAATGAAACGAAGGAAGAATTCGTAAACGACTTGGATATGCGGCCAAGCAACTTCCAATACTGGTTCATCTTCTTCCGGATCAAATGCATCTCCCTGTGGATTAACTGGCGGGGGTATCGGACGGAATAAATTTTTGGCAAACATGTCGACAACTTTAGGGTACATGGGATCTGTAATGACGGAACGATTGTTGGCAACGTAATCTAGAAGCTCATGAAGTGCCAATCGTTTGATTTCCTTTGACTTCATATCCCCAGCGGCATCGTTAAAATCGAATATGATATTACACTGATCGATCTTTTGCATGAACAGATCCTGTCGACGGTTTGGAGGAACCTCATGAAACCCAGGGAGTTTTTCTAGTTCCCTCTGGCGTTGATCCGAGATGTCGAAGCGGGACGAATGTTGTCGTCTAGGCGGCCGAGGAAGTTCGGTTACATCTTTTGGGGTCTGCAACCGATCCATGAGATGGGGTTTTGTGCCAGCTTTAGGAGGTTGGAGGTCGCCAGGCATTGTTTCCGGAGCGCCGGGAGGCGGTATATGCTGTGTTAGGAAAGCAGAATGTTAGCCATATGAAGATGAATAAATGGCGAGTGAACACAGATCCAAGGGAAAGGATATGAACTGCGGCGATGCCATGTTGTACGGAGGTTTGCTGTTGCAAATAGAGAGCAATCACTAGAGCAGGAAAACATACCGGTGCACTCGGGCTGATGATCACACTCGGCGCAAGCGAAGTTTGTCTGCCTGGGCCATTGGCTCCCATGAGTCCACTATATCCCCCTCCAAGAGGCGGCAGGATGGAATGCTGTTGACTCGGTAGTGCATTGGACATAACAGGCGCATTTTGATGCATGGTGAGGCCAGCAGGACCGCCGCCATTGTCGGGAGACAATAGAGGTTTCGACTTAGTCTCATTTACTGCCGTTGTCGACGACGTTGGGGTACCATGGTTCGAGCCTGCTGGTGATAACGCCGGCCCTGATTGATTGGAGAGGGTTGCAGCGGACCCAGGGGACGATGCACCAGAAGAATCCTTCTTCTTGGACGATTTATTCGAGTCCTTCGCACGGGACAACTGCTCATGCTAACATCATCAGCTTTGAATTCTGGGGAATTGCTGATGCGATGGATGGCAAGCACGTCGAAGTCGGAGGGGTCGGGCGGTCATGCAAAGAGTAATAAACACAAAACAGGAGCCATTGAAGTAAACTTACAACTCTCTGCCTAAAACCCTTCATGGTGGCTAGGAGGTCTTCACCCACATCAACAGAATTTCCCGTGGAGCCGTGCTCAACCACCGCGAGCTTGCCCCTATTCGAGAACAAGTATCCTGAAACGAGGCTTCAAGAGGGAATGAATGAATCGACGACGGGGATTGGTTGACGGAGCGGGAGAAAGAGAGTAACGGGTACGTATTTCCCTAGCGTGAAAAAGAAACAATAACGAGTAAGCGATTTTTGTCTGCGAGTCGTAACCACACGGATGGAGGGGAGGGTTTGGGGAGGTCGAGGGAGGTCGAGGGAGGTTTTGGCGAAACAGTGAGGTTTGAGGGTTTGTTGCAGGGTTGAGTGAGGTTGACCAGTACACACACCAAGGGGGAGGTAAGAGAAATAGCAATGCGGCAACGTCCTACCTTTTGAGTCCTGCGAGACCAACGACAACTGCGACGAGAAATGCTGGAGTTGTGTGCAGTGTTTGTTTTTGTGTTTGTTTTGCGCGATGTGATGATGGCAAGGAGCGTAATTAAGGGCAAACAGGAGGCGGGCGGGGGAGGGACTGGGCTTCAACGACGCAACTAACAACGTTGTGATTGGGCTGACGAACGGACAATGCTGCCGTGAATAAAGAATGGAACAAGTAACTCACTCCGTCGACAGCAGATCGGGTGGGTTCTAGCGAGCGCAAGACAACAGCGCGTTAACTAAAGGTCAGCAATAGTAGTTAGAAACCCGGAGTTGAGCATTCCAACCAGGAGCAATCTAACTAGAGCAAAGGGTCAGGATGGCCATACTAGTGGTTAGTTTAGTTTGGTTTGTTGACTAACGGCGACAGCGACAGGGACTCTCTCTCGCTCTCACTCGCTGGCGATGCTTTCTTGGGCGTTTTCTTGGGCTTTTTTGAAGCCATTGGTACGCTCGGGTCACGTGGATGGCCACTCTATACAATATAAAATAGAAATCAATTAACTAATTAACCTATTGAATAAATAAATTAAATAATCTAATGAATACAAAATGATGGTCGTTCGATTAATTATTCTTCCTATCAGCGATCGAGGTGACGTGAATTAGTTCCACGTTGGGGGTAAATAGTTGGTTGCTTGGAAGGAATTAACAAACCCTGCCACAGCAGACGGAAGCTCAAACATTACGGAGCACTCTAAACGATAGAATCAATAACTACTCCAGTATCTAATCTATACATGAAATCATGGCTCATGAGAATGTCAGAAACCCCAACCCAGACCGCACCGCCGCCTGGTACCATATCCCTCCACGAGAGATCGTCAGTATAGAACATCCAGGCATCGTGAAGAACGTGCAGAAAGGCATTGATACCCTCCAGGGCACCGCAGGAATAGCAGAAGTATACTCCACTTAACCTTACCACTGATATTCTTTTCTTATTTCTCTTTGCAATCTGCTAAATCTCTATCATAGATACTACAGT